ACATTGATGAGAAAGAAACATCAATCAGCTGCCTCCTGCACACTCCCTACTTGGTATGTGCCCACAACCAAAGTAAATGCCCTTGACCAGAATCGAACCTGGGACCCTTGAGTCCACAGGCCAATGCTCTATCCACTGAGCCAAACCAGTTAGGGCTTGGTTGCCATTTTACATTGCTATCCTTGCTGTTTCTTTAGAAGTTACCTCATCTTTTGTAGACATGTAGGGAATGTGACATTCTGATTAATGAAATGCTTTGATGTGTAGAAGTTTAAAATATACAAAAATATATCTAGAATAGATAAAATGAAATTAACATGGACCTGGCATAGTACCTAACGAGTAATAGGCATTCACTAAATGTTTATTGAATGAATGAAGAATGAATGAATCAGTCATTATATAGTCAAGATACTGAGCATGATTTCATCTTTCGTTGATAATTCAGAAGAGTTGCTATGGGTAGAACTTAGCCACATCCAGGCGAAGGTGTCCCTGCTGCTTGAATGCTGATGTTCATGGGCTGTGCATTTGGAGCCACTGGCTGGAGACACAGTGTGTCTGTGCTGCCGTCTCCTCAGCCTCTGTCCGTGGTCTTCCCCGTTGGGTTGGTATATGCTGCTTCCTTTAAAGCATTTACATTATTTTTGTTGACAGTCTCAACAGCAGTCTGTTTTGTTTTGATTTTTCCAAATATAAAATTACCCACTTTATCGTGTACAGGATTCAATCTACTTTCCTCTGTCTGTACATTCAATAAATGTGTTTTGCTTGTGGTGATATTATTTGAGTTATGTTTCTTTACTAATGGCTACTTCCATTTTCCATGTAATCCAATACAGGGGAAAGGGACCACTAAGACAGAAAACAATTACAGGAGAGCCCAGACCTCACAATGAAAGCCGTCTCCTCGGTGTTAAAACTGCCTCTTGTCTCCGCAGGGCCTCCTCAGGGATGGAAAATGCAACACAGATTTTAAAGTAAAAAGCATGTTGTAGCAGAGAAACGCATTCAAGACAAAGACAAAAATGTCAAAATTCAGACAGAAATGTTCCCAGCTTCTATATTTCAAGCTGCAAATGTTTCCCATTTCACAGTCCTTTTCTTTACAGATAGTCAAGTGTTTGCTAATCAAACCTGTCATTAAAACCGAACATTTGTTCTGAAAACCTGATTGAGAATCAAAACATTTAAACCAACTGGAGAGATTTACTTTCGTAAAGAGGGAGACGAAAACAGCTCCTGGGAGAAAGCTGCATTTCGGTCCTCCTTTGTCCCTTGTTTTCTCCGCTGGAGAGTGCCAAGTGGTTTCCATCGCAGGAGCCTGTGTTCACTGAAAACAGGCCGCTGGCTGCTATTAGGATGAGCTGGGCAGGGGAGCAGCAGCGCCAGGGCTTGGAGCCATTTCCCTGCAAAGGAAGGGGAGGGGCCGTTCACTCGCCTGCACGGCCACGTGTGGTTACGGAAGGGCAGGTTCCAGTGCGAATTGTTCTTTTTCTAATATCACCTCCGTCCTCATCAATAAGTGGCCGAAGCAGTGAAGCGCTGTCTGACCTCGTTTTCTCCCTGATGGCACAGGAGAGGAAAGTTCATGAGCTCATCATCCTGAAATTGTTTCCATACCAAAACCAGCCCAGGCCAGCATGTCTGTTCCCAGCTTTGTCCTCTCTCCTGCCCTCTGCCCTTGGAGGGAACTCTCTGCATTTCGCACTCACTCCCTTGCTCGGTGCTTTTCCATGCTCCCGAGAGCTTTCCTGTGACAGTGACTGCAGTTAGTTAGATGGTGTTTCTGGGTTCAAGATGAATGAGGGTCCTGCCCCTGCTAGGCCTTCAGATCTTCTAGAAGTTTCGATGTTTGTTCCTGAACGCTGTGTTTGTTCTCTCTCATGTTTAATTGTGACACGTTTTGGCTCTCTTCTTGTGGTTTCCAGTCACGTTTCCGTCATGGTTTTGCCCTGCAAAGCCTCTGCGTGCTCCTTGCAGAATTGGTGTGTGGATGACACCAGGGCTGGTTCTTTACTGTGTCTTTGAGGGGAGCCATGGGGAAAAGGTCAGGGGAACAGGGGATCATCATCCTTGCACGACGCTAGGCCCTGACAAGGACATGCCGGATGGGAGAGGGCACTGGGCCCCCGCTCCGCTCTTGGCTGTTTCTCCAATGGGATGGGGCACAGGTGCTGTGCAGAGAGCGGGAGGGGTGGGGGTCCTTGCCTGTAAGAGAGCTGCTCAGTTGCTGCCAGAGAATCTTTTACCCAGAGAAGAAGAAAGTCATTTAAAGTTAATTAACAGTTGAAAAAAGGAAAATTTAGATCATTTTCTGGAAAATCTGAACTCAAGTCACTGTGGGAGTTTTAAGACAGAATGAGTTGTTATGAAAGGTTCTGTTCCCTAATGAGCTAAAATATATCACCCAGCTGAAACCGGTTTGGCTCAGTGGATGGAGCATCGGCCTGTGGACTGACGGGTCCCGGGTTCGATTCCTATCAAGGGCATGTACCTTGGTTGCAGGCACATCCCCAGTAGGGGGTGTGCAGGAGGCAGCTGATCGATGATTCTCTCTCATAGATGTTTCTGGCTCTCTATCCCTCTCTCTTCCTCTCTGTGAAAAATCAATAAAATATATTTTTTGAAAAATAAATAAAAAAAAAATAAAATATATCACCCAGTCTCCAACTACACCTTATTTCCCAAACATAGTCTTTGGGAATTTGTTCAAGATTGGTTTCCTTCTGCTGAATAAATGTGTGTATTTGTCCCAATTACATGCAGTAATGATATCCATGCTTTCTCTAATATATAAAACTGGAGGCCTGGTCCTGAAGATTTGTACAAGAATGGGCCTTCCTTACCCTGGCTGCAGGCACTGCCTTCGCTCCGGCTGGAGCTGCCTTTCCACCTTCCCACACTGCCCAGAGTCCTCCGAGTAGCTGGGGCAGTGTGGAATGCCATTCTGCCCAGCCCTCTGCCACTTGGCGCCTGCATCTGCAAATTAACCTGCCATCTTTGTTGGGTTAATTAACATACTCGCTCCTGATGGGCTTGTGGGCATCGCGAATGTATGGTAAATTTACATCTTACTCTTTTATTAGTGTAGTTACCAAGAAAAGTACAAAAGATGTTTAAATAATGGCTAGGTAGCTTCTGTATAGACGTGAAACTATGCATTATTGTCTTTTTAAAATATATATATTTTATTGATTTTTTTTTTATAGAGAGGAAGGAAGAGGGATAGAGAGTTTGAAACATCAATCAGAGAGAAACATCAATCAGCTGTCTCCTGCACACCCCCCTACTTGGGATGTGCTTGAAACCAAGGTACATGTCCCCTTTAACCTGGGACCCTTCAGTCTGCAGGCTGATGCTCTTACCCACTGAGCCAAACCAGTTAGGGCTGTCTTCCTATTATTATACTTGGGATTCAGCTCTTTTATCAAATAATTAGCTATTAATGTGCCAGTTTACAAAACATTTTAAAATTAGAATATTTAACCTAATCCGTATGATTTCTAACACCACTTGGTATATTGAAGATATCACTCTTGGTCTCGGGTACAGTGTGAATGTATTTTCCAGCTTGTGATGTGAGTGTCTCACTCCATTGCGCGCACAGGATCTTTCTGTACCTGAGGAATTGCCCGAGTGCCCTGTGCTGGAATCTGCTTGTCGTCCTCCCTGGTGGGTTCTGAAGGCCCTCCACACAGGGTTGCTTTGTTTCTGCTCTTTTGGGTTCCGTGCTGTGTTCACCTGCCCTTTGGATCCTTATTTCCCTGATATTATCGAATGAGCACCTCTAACCAGGGCAGCCTGATCACTGTCCACCACGGCCTCGCGGGTGCTGCCAAAGTCACGGCATCAGCTCCCGTTTCACACCCGACACTCTCCCAAACCATGTGTGGATTTCTTCAGTCTGGTCCCACCACCTTCTCTGAATTCAGACTGAACCACTCCAATCAGGGGACATTGGGAGCAGCCCTGAGTCCCCTCTGCTCACCCAGGGCGGGGTAGCGTCCCAGCGGGAGGGGGAGAGATGAGCCATCCCTATGGGGAGACCAGGAGATGCTGGCTTCACTGTATGATAAGGAACCTGTTTGTGGGCATTTGACACATTAGCTTTCCCTTCAGGCCTGTTGAGTATTGGGATAACTGGGGAGCACACTGAGTAAGAAGAAGAGGAGGAGGCCGCAGGCAGGGGAAGATCATATTTCCGCACAAACTGGGTTCAAAGTGCCAGTCTGTGGAGGGATTCCAGGCCCGTCTGGGGTGCTGGGGACCACGGCAACCCAGGCCCTGTGGGCTGCTGAGGGGGCAGTAGTGCCTTGAGCTACAGGACACAGTTTCTGTGACCCACACAGGCTGTTCCGGCGACGCTCCTTGGCTCTCCCAGGCCTTCTGTGGCTGCGCCTGAATCTGTGGGGCTGTCCGATACCACTGGGTGTGTGCCAGGCCCACACATTCCATGCCCTTAACCCTCCAGAGCAGCTGGGCTTGCAACATGGGCCTCCAGGAGCGAGGGACAGGCAGGAGCTCAAGGTCTGTCTGAGGCCGACATCTGCACAGAGAAGGATCTAACCTCACTTTACAGCAGAATAAACTGAGAGCCAGTGCTTGCTGTACACGCAGAGACCTTCCCATAAGCGTAGCTCCCACAGTGACACACTGGCAGTCACACAGGACGGAGCTAACACAACCTCTGTCTTAACCTGCACCAAACACCACAGAATTGGATGTGTGTAATCTTTCTTTTCATTGCACTTTCTACAGTGAGCTGCTGCCAGTGGGAGTGAACTAGTAGAAGGTGCTTTGAGGTGGATCTTTGCCAAAAAACAGTTTTTCATAATTTGCAGACGTAACCCATGGAAATGACTCAGAAAGACATGACTGAGGCAGATAGCAGCTATGTGTGGCTGCTACAGCTAGACTCCGTTGGGCCTGTTGGGAGTCATTCGTCACGTTCTAAAACATGCATGGCCTGTTTTCAGAGCTTGTACTGTTCTCTCCAGGACACGGCGGGCCAGGAGCGGTACCGGACCATCACCACAGCCTACTACCGCGGGGCCATGGGCTTCATCCTGATGTACGACATCACCAACGGGGAGTCCTTCAACGCCGTGCAGGACTGGTGAGTGGCTGGCTTCCCCTCAGTGGCTGCCCATGGGTAGCAGGCTCTCACACATGTCCTCTAGGCAGCCCCGCGCCAGCAGCACCCCAAGTGGCATGAACGGCCTGATGGGATCGATCATGTGGTGTCCTACACGCGGTCCCTCAGGGCCTGGCGTCCTGTCTCCCTGGCTCTGTGGGGCCGGGTCCATCACTGCGACTCTAAAACAGGCGTGGTGGGCGGCCATTATCTACCTCGTGGGCCTAGGCGCCCAGACCGGCCCCACGGCAAAGCTGCATCAGAGCGGCCAGGCTCGTGGCCTTTCCCGGGGGGACCCCACACGGCAGTTTGCTGTAGCCTAGGCACCATGTGCCCACGTTGATGCAGGTTTTCTTTAAATTGAAACGTTTCAGAGGTTTGGGATGAAGGGAAAGGTGACCCAGAGCCTGTTCTGACCCAGCCGCATCGCATGTCTGAACCCTGTGTGGCTGCGTGATGTGCACGGGGCTCCTGCCTAGGATGGCCCTGCCTGGTTGCCAGCTCCAGGGAGGACTGGGCGGCCCCTCCCCTGAGTCCAGTCCTCAGGGCTGACGGGCTGGTCCTCTGCGGAAGAGCCAGTTTAGCTCCAGCTTCGGGGAATCAGGAGGTCCCTGAGTTCATTACCACGAGTGGGCCAGGCCGGGTTCAGCGCCTCGAGTCCCGAAGCAGCAATGCCTCTCGCCCACCGGTACTCACAAAGTCTCCCCACTGGAGCTCAGCTTCTCCCCTCTAGGACTCGTGGTCTCCCGCACCAAGGGCACTTCCACCTGCCTCAGCCCGCTGGCCCGAGCTCCCGAGCTCCTGTCCTAAGAGCGAGGCCACCTCGGCTGCCGGGACTGTTGCTGGCTGATGCCCACCTTAGCCATCTACAGGCCAGCTTTATGGCTCGATGCAGAGCTGTCGATAGGATGGCTGTTTTAAGGTAGGAAACCTGGTGGGCAGATTGATTTTTTTTTAGAAACCACCAGACTAAGGGTAGAAGCCTGACCCATCTTCCCTTTGTTTTAATAGCTCACTCTGTGCCGTTCTGAGCACCTTAACTAGAAAGAACTTTACCTTCAAACATGCAACCTTCAGCTTCTCCTCCCTTTTCCTCCAAGAGCAAATAACACACTGAAACGCAGGTGACCTCCGTCAGACAGGAAAGGACGTTAGTCTGAGGACTGCTGAGGGGGTGGGCATTTGCTCAGTGTTTCCTGACTTCAGTCAAGGTCAAAGGTCCTCTCAGCTCAACACCTGGGTCCCTTGCAGCTCCAAGAGGCAGTGACGGGGTGATCCCAGTTTCCCCTCCTACCTGGGCATCGGGAGCCTCTCCTGTCCCAGATCTGAGCGGGAGAGAGAGAGAGACAGAGACATTGTTGAGAGAAAAACATTGATTGGCTGCCTCCTGCACAGCCTCCAGCGGGAGAGAGCCCGGAACCCGGCTTTGCCCAACCAGGAATCGCCGCCGCGGCGATGTCTTGGTGTTTGGGTGCTGTTTTCTAGTTTCTAACCGCTGAGCCATGCCGGCTGCTCTGACAGGGGTAGCCCACGCTCCTTGTACAGACAGTCCAAGCTGCAAACGCCTTTGTACTTATTAATAGAAGGCACGTGCCTCCTTTCAGACACTGACATAAGAGCCCAAGCACATCGCGTGCCCTGCACGGTCTCTTCCCCGTGTGAGCTCAGCTGCAGAGACTTTTCCAGAAGCTAGCTCTTGGTGTGGAGACAGCATGAAGTGGGCATTAGGGTTAACGTGCAGACTGTCCGAGGGGGAGCTGCGGGCTGGAGCCTCCTGCCTGGCTGAGCTCTGAAGGTGGGAAGCGAGGGCGGGAAGTATGTCCTGTGGCTCTGCCCGCCCTCAGGTGGCCGTGGGGAACGTGAAGTCAGAGGCAGACCTGGACTCTCAGGTGAAAGCATTTCCTTCACACGGTGCTGCTCGTTCTGCTCCCTGGAACAGACTCATCTGTGTGGTTTGCGTCACAGTATTTATTGCAGATACCGGCATTTTCTCCCAGACTCCCCCGGGGTGTCTTTGTTTCGATAGACCTTCTTCCCTGTTTAGTCAGCTGCCTGTCTTTGGGGGGGTCCATCTGAGGGACTGTGCTGACGCTCCCTGTAAAGAGAGCGCGTGCTCAGCCCTAGGTGATCCACTGCCTTCGGCGACCCTGGGGGAGGAGGATCCAGCTCAGAGAACAGCCTGGGCTTTGAATGGGCCGCTCACTGTGGCTTCCTGGACCCTCACAGGCCGTTCAGGCCCCGTGCACGGGATCTCCGTCCAGGCTGCTGCCCCGCAGCGAGCATGCTCATTCCCCGCACAGACCCTGGGCCCACCTTCTAACACCCAGGCCGGCAGTGAGGGTTGCGCTCTGCAGCCGGCCTGGGAAGTGAGCAGAGAGGCCGCGTCACAGGTCTACATGTGCAGTCCCAGCCTGCTCTTGTGTTTCTCACCTGACGCCCCCTGCCCAGCGTGAGCCCTGGCCCTGGTGGGGCTCCGACTGCAGGTGGGACAGCACCTTTGCAGTTCGTTCGTTAAGGTATTTATCCTGTGTCCAGTCGTAAACCACACCCTGCACCCCCACGCACACATAAATAAATAGACATTAAAAGGGACTATTCAAAAGAGGAAATTAGAAAATAGCACATTTGTCACAGGAGGGTCCTCTCTTGTCGCCAGAGAAGATAGTCATGGCGCACAGTGTGGGACTCCGTTAGATTCAGACAAAACTGTGCTGTTGCACTTGGCTGTGCCTTCCTCTGCCACCGTTTCCCGGAGCACGAGTCACGCATTCCGTGCAGCCCCACAGTGCCACGGTTCCTGCTGCTCCCGTAACGTATTGTGCCCTATGACCTAATTTTTATCTGTAAATATCACAGATTTTTAGGATACTTTTCTTTCCCAAAGCAACCACCAGGGGGTGCCAGTGAGGGAAGAGAGGTTGCAGGGCCTAAGTGGTTAGCTCAGTGGTACCCACACGTTTTCAATCCTCATAGCAACTATGAGATGTGAGTAGTCACAAAGAGGCGAAAGGCATGATCCTCCATGGGTTGGCCTGATTCCTCACTTCAGACACTAGTTTTACATGGGGGGGGGGGGTGTCCCAGGGTCTCCTCACTCCTGATCCTCTGGCTATACCTTCAGGGTTTCCCATGAACACTTTAGATTTGATCATCACTAGGATGACTTACAGAATTCAGGAAAGTGCTGTCCTTACCATTGTGGTTTGTTTTATTATAACAAAAGGATACGACTCAGAACCAGCCAAAGGAAGCGATGGTGTTGGTGAGATTGGAAGGGTCCGGGTGGGGGCCCAGCCATTCTCAGGGACACGTTGCCAACCAGGGGGTTCCCCCAGGTCTGAAGCCCAACCTCCATGGGACTTCACGGCGGAGGGTGACTGGTTGCACCATTGCCCCAGGCTGGCCCCCTCCTGAGAAGGCAGCCTGAGGTCACGGACTCAGTGCCAACAGTCTGGTCACATGGTTGGTCTTCCTGGCATGACCATCCCTCCCCAATTCCGATATCATTAGCATAAAGTTTACTATCGGGTGAGCCATCTCGTTAGCATTAACTATCAGGTGGGTCATGTCATTAGCATAAACCTTCCAGAGTGCTTTAGAGAGCCATCACGAATAACAGACCCTCCATTCACTTTGGCTTCAGAGGTTACCTGCTGGGAACTGGGGACGAAGACTGACCAGATTCTTCATTATAAAGCATTCCTTTATTTATTTATAAATCATGAGCACATACTATTGTACCAATCTAGAATGCACATTACAAAACACAGAAAACTAGTTGCTAAAAATGATGCATTGGGTTTCAGTAGTTTTGGAGAACAGAGTACAGTATTGTATTGCATTTCTGTGAAGAGCACTTTGTAGAAAATGTTCCTAAAAGCTTATACCCAAGTGGTGCTCACCGCCCGGCCATGCCCACCATGCCCACACCTGTTGGTGTCCACACCTTCAAACCAGCTTCCTTGCCCCTGAGGTGAGCCATAGAGATGAGGCCTGGGAGACAGCCCCTCAATGCAGATGTCAGAGTGTCAGAATACTCCTTTTTTTTTATGAGCAACAAACAGAACAACAAATATTTATATCTCTGGTTCCATCCCTAATCCCACCTCTCATCCAACGCCTACCCTCAGCCTGCAACCCTGAGTTGCTCTGGGCTTGGTCCTGAATGTGGCATTGTTGGGGGGTCGAACCCTGGATTCCAAATAAGACCATCGGAGGCTGATGATTGATTAAAAAAAGCAGGCAAGGATTTATTGAAAAACTGGCCAGGATGGCCATGAGAGCACCACATGCAGGTTGAGTCCACACGACCACCCTGTTCCAGGTGTAGGCAGTCTTTTTAAAGGTCCAAACCACAGGAATTTTTCCTAATTTCTAAATTGTAAAGGCTGGGAACATTGGAATGTGGCCCTATCTTGATAATAATACAGAAGCAGAACTCAGAGGTTAATCTCTAAACGTTATCTATAGTTTCTACCCCTGAAGCTACTGAGTCAGTGGGAATCAATCTCCTGTATTCATGGTCCCAGGCACAGGAAAACTGCCTTAGCCTTCAGGTCTCCACCTGGAAGCAGACCACCCGGGGCTGTTTCTACTCTGGGAGTTGGTCACATGGAAATTTATTCTGAATCCTAGGTTTCCCGTGTATAGTAAATTAAAGCACCAGCCCATTGTACTGCAGCTTTTTTTTTTTTTTTAATCAATCTTTATTGTTCATATTATTACAAAGGTTCCTCATTTCTTCCCCCCTCCACCAGATTACCACCCCACCCTCCACCCCCTCCCCATCCCTCATTGTCCTCATCCATAGGTGCACAGTTTATGTTCAGTCTCTTCTTCCTTCCCTTTCCCTGATAGTAAATCCCTTTTCAGATAGTATATCAGTTACTTAGCATTTTCTCATATCAATAATACCTCCACATGCCCAATGATACACTTCACACAAAAGACATTTCCCAATAGGTCAACTAGCCTCATCCAGACCCCACCCAAGGCACTCACAGATCATCACCCCAGCCCTATACTAACTCAACACATCCAGATCTAAGCCTTCATCACTTGATTCAGCAGACCCTCAAGTTCCCACGAAAGTTTCCAGCCATGTCTGAGAGGCAGCCGTGGGGCAGGGGCAGGCGAGGAGCGAGCTGTTCCGGGCCTGGCTGCTCAGGGCCTGGCCTCTGTTGCTCTGGTTCGTTCCACAACCAGCTGCTCCGGGTCTGGTCACTGCCGCTCCCAACCTAGTTGCTCTGGTCTTGGCTGCTGCTGCTCCGGGCCTGGCCGCACCCGACCCGGCTGCTTTCCCAGCCTGGCAGCCGCTGATCCGGGCCTGGCTGCACCCGACCCAGCTGCTCCCCCGGGCCTGGCCACTCCCAGCCTGGCAGCCGCTGCTCCGGGCCTGGCCACACCCAACCCGGCTGCTCCCCCGGGCCTGGCCACTCCCAGCCTGGCAGCCGCTGCTCCGGGCCTGGCCACACCCAACCCGGCTGCTCCCCCGGGCCTGGCCACTCCCAGCCTGGCAGCCGCTGCTCCGGGCCTGGCCGCACCTGACCCGGCTGCTCCCCCGGGCCTGGCCGCTCCCAGCCTGGCAGCCGCTGCTCCAGACCTGGCCGCACCAGCTCCGGCTAATCCCCCGGGCCTGGCCGCTCCCAGCCTGGCAGCCGCTGTTCCAGGCCTGGCCACACCCAACCCGGCTGCTCTGGGCCCGGCTGCCCCGGGCCCGGCCGCTCCGAGCCTGGCCACTCCAAACCTGGATGCTCTGGGCTTGGCTACTGCTGTTCTGGGTCTGGCTGCTCACCCCAGCTGCTCTGGGCCCGGCTTCTCCGGGCCCGGCCACTCTGGGTCTGGGTGTTCCAGGACTGGCCACCCTGGGCTTGGCCGCCTCCACCTCAGGCCTGGCTGCCACTGCCCCAGGTCTGGCTGCTCCAGTGCTGGCTGTTGATGCTCTGGTTCTGGCTGCTGTTGTTCTGGGGCCTGGCCGTTGCTGCTCTGGGCCTGGCTGCCACTGCCTTGTGCCTGGCCACTCTTGGCCTGGCTGCCGCTGTTCCAACATTCTGTCCTTTTTTTATTCTTTTTTCTTTTTAAAACGCATTTATGTTGCAATGTTGGCTGGTGAGTTGAGTTCTGACTTAGTCTTTGATTTTTCAAGAACTTCTTTGTATTCTTTCTTAAGTAATTTTACTATCTTTTGCTCTCACTTGATTTCTTCATATTGAGAACTTTTTTGGTTTCTTCCTCCTTGTCCTGGGAGCTCAGCAGGTTGGCCTGTGGCACCACTTTGTTCTCCGTGGGCTCCTGCGCTGCTTCAGCCTGTTGCCGGGGACGGTGCCACCCAGGAAGCAGCCCCCGGCCTTGGCTCCATTGTCCGCGCTCAGTGGTCGAAGACTCAGGGGCACCCCCCCCCCCCCCCCGGGCCCTGTCGCCCGCCTCCTTGCTGGTGCCCGCTTGGCCGGCGTCCGGCAGGGGCTCCCGCTCCCTGCCGCGTTCCTCCAGCCCGGAGCTTTTTTTCTCCTTCCCGCTAGGGGAGTCCAGCATCAGAGTCAACAGACTGTCCTCTGCGCGCAGTGTGCGCAAGTCCGGGGGCCCGGCCTTTGGCTGCTCTCCCCGGACTCCACCTCACAGCCCCATCTCCCTCTGCCTGAGCCTGGGTCCCCAGGGATTGGCCCAGAACTGGGGTTCGGAGCAGTCCGGACTGAGGCTCAGCACCACCGGAGGCCTTGTTTCTTCCAGCTAGGGTAACCCAGCATCAGAGTCAACATTCAGTCCTCTGCACGCGCATTGCGCACGACTCCAGGGGCCCTGCTTTTCGCTGCTCTTCTGGGATTCAGCCTCACAGCCCCGTCTCCCCCTGCCGGAGCCTGGGTCCCCAGGATCTGGCCCATAACTGGGGCTCAGCGCTGCCGGTTCGGGGGGCTCAGCGCTGCCGGTTCGGGGGTTCAGCCCAGGCTGGGGGTTTTATTTCCTTCCTGCTAGGGAACGCCAGGCAGCACCCAGCCCTCTCCTCCTCTCCGGCTGCGACCTCTCCGCATGTGCGCGCAGCATATCTCCGTACCTTAGGCTTTTTTTCAGCTCCTCTGATTTTCCTTCTGATTTTCTCTTTCCTTCTTGTTGTAGAATTTTCAGTCAGTCGACTACCTGTAGCTCTGGGCAATGTCCACTCTACATTTTAGTTGTATTCCATTGAAATTGTTGTGTGCTGCCGCGGTTAGATGTCTACCCCAGCAGCCATCTTGGATCCTCCTGTACTGCAGCTTTGATATTGATCAACCTGTCGTTTTTCTCTTAAAAATCTAGTTCTTATAGTTCATTTTAAAATTACCATTACCTCCCCATTCCTAGCCCAGTTGACAGGTTATTCAGTTGTCATGGTAACAAGGGAAATTAGGCTTCTGTGTGATAGATTTCTTGGAACTGAGTGGTTTCTCAGAAAACGGGACTTTTTCTCCTAAAACAGAGGCTATCTGGGCAGACTGGGCCAGGGTGCACTCAGCTGTGAAGGGGGATGTGGGAACAGGAAGGAATAGTAATAATATCAGCTCATCAAATGCAGAAGAATCCTTCATGCAGACCTTTGTACTTTTATTTTTAAAAACACATTTTTTATTGATTTCAGAGAGGAAGGGAGTGAGAGAAATAGCAATATCAGTGATGAGAGAGAATCATGGATCGGCTGCCTCCTGCACACCCCACACTGGGGATCAAACCTGCAACCAAGGTGTGTGCCCTGACCAGGAATCAAACCCTGACCTCCTGGTTCCTAGATTGGTGCTCAACCATGGAGCCATGCCGGCCAGGCTGGTTCTTCATTTCTGACTTGTTATTCCCGATAAGTGCTGATGGGTGACATTATACTATTTCATTCTGGTGTTAAATTTGGGCCTTTTTTTTTTTTTTTTTTTTTTTTTTTTTTTTTTTTTTTACTGTTATCAGCAGGGGTGAGATTTATTTCCCTCCTTCATTTGTGCTGCCCCACTTTCTTTTGATCACTTTTCTGCCTGTTCTTTTTCCTTTAGGTCAACTCAAATTAAAACCTACTCTTGGGATAATGCGCAGGTGATCCTGGTGGGAAACAAGTGTGACATGGAGGACGAGCGTGTCATCTCGGTGGAGAGGGGCCGGCGATTGGGAGAACAGCTTGGTAAGCGGCACTGATGAGGAGAGGAGCTGGCAGTCCCCAAGACCAGCTGCGTGGGGTGATGGGCCGGGGGAGTCGGTCAGCCCGGCCGTGGGGACCCGCACACCCTTCAGGGCGAGTGAGTCCCCCCACACTCGGGCATCATGAGGGTGCAAGCCCCTCACAGAAGCAAACAGGGCCACCCGACTGTGACCCAGTCTAGGGCCCCGTTCTTACTCCGTGAAAACTGGCTCTGCACGGGCTCCCTTCCCCCACATCTTCGCAAGTCTTCCTCCTCGTCCGTGACGTGGTGCACACTGCCCGTCCCATGAGGCAGCATCTCCTGGGGCTTGACTGCATTTCCCTGTGACCATTGTTGTTGAGCATCTTTCCTGGGCCTACTGTGCATCCTTTTTGAAAACATATCTGTTCAGACCCCCTGTCCGTTTTTAATTGGATTTTTTGCTATTGAGTTATATGCACTCTTTACATATTTTGAATATTAAACCCTTATCAGATATATTTGGAAATATTTGCCTCCGTTCAGTAGATTGCTTTTTCATTTTATCGTTTATCTTGCTTTTTCATTTTATCGTTTATCAAGCCTTTTAGTTTGATATAGTCCCACTTGTTTTGTTGTTATTACTGTTTAGGTTTTATTGGTTTTGTTCTTGCTTTTGTTGCATTTAATGCTAGTCTCAAATCCAATCATCTTCATTATGCACTCTGCCTGGTGGGCCAAGGCCCCTTCTATGACCTGCAGCAGAGAAAAGCAGTCACATTGGACTCAGACTGCGGTTCCAGGCTGTCCTGATGGCCAAATCCTTTGGATGCCACTGGGTCAGTGCCTCTGGAGTCATGCTGATAAGAAGGGACGTGTGGGCAGAGAGACGAGAGGCTGGAACCAGCAGCCGAGACCATGTGCTGAACTGAGAGATTGTTGTCTCCAAAGTCTCAGGCCGGTGCTCTGGCTTCCTGAGTGGGTCCTGGCATCTGAGACAGGAAGCAGCCCCATGAGCACTGGTAACCCCCGAAGGCCAGTCCACCTGCCAGCTCCACCCAGGGGTGGTTCTTGGGTCTACATTGTCCTTTGAAATCCAGACCATGCAGGCCTGTGGGCTGCACAGACAGAAGAGAACTCTTTCCACTCGTTCTGTAAAGAAGCGCAGAATGTAAGAGAAACACCAGCCAAAGAGGGTTTGAAGTGTCCGTCCCCATCTCACTGACCCGGCTCTACTCGAGGTCTTTCAGCTCAAGTCCTGCCACCAGTCACATAGCTTCAGTCGTGGACTCAGAGTAGCCAGTGTGGTTCAAGCTCAGATGAGCCATCTGTCATCAGATGAGCCATACGTATCACCACCAAGTCTCATCCCAACACATGAGAATGGCTGTTTGTGCTCTCCCCTTCAGGGCTATTGAAGAACTACAGAGGGATTTTGACATGGATGCAGAATATTAGTCCCTTCTTTGCCCTTGGCCCCAGGAGCTGGGGTGAAATCATGGATTTAATCATTCTGAACCCGTGTCTCCTCTGAGTTGGGACCAGATGTAACAGAGAACTTACAGGGTGTAAATGCAGACTAGATTAGGGAAGTATTTCTGTGTTCAACCCATTGCACCCTTAATCAATGTCCCCAAGTGACCAGAGCAATCATGGGCACTGATTGGCACACCTGGAGGAGGGGCGGGTGTGAGTGGAGAGATTAGATTGATTGGGGAGCATCATGCCGAGCTGTCTGGGCCCAGGTGCCTCCACAAGTCCAAAGTGTGAAACCGTCCCTGCGTTTTTATACTTGACATTCTAGCTGCTCATTTGAAATTTCTCAGGGTCCTTCCCTAGATGTTGTGAGAGCATTTCTGCTGATAGATGACAGAGCTTTGGGAATGTTACCACCAAGAGACACAAGCTGGGCAAAGCCCTGGAAGGCTGGTCGGCTCTGAGGAACTCAAGGACACGGTAGCGCCCCTGGTGGCCATTCAGATCCTGGACATTCACCAAGCCCCTCCCTCCAACCCTCCACTGGGGACACAGACTGAGAGCTGGACCAAATTGGTACAGCAGACTCAGCATAGGAATCTAAGCTTCGAATTAATGGAATAATTATGAAAATTAATAATTTTGGTAGAATCTTCTTTGGAAGGAAGAAAATGCAAAATAACATCAGTCCTAGGAAAGATTTCACAAGGTTCCACGATGGCCAGGACTGGGAAAGGAAGGAGAGACAAATTCTGTGTCGAGGATCCTGAGTGTCGGCTCCTGACCCCGGCAAGGGCTCCTTCCGGCTGTGCAGCCTTGCTGGGAGCACAGGAGGATCCTAGAGAAAAAGCGCCAGAGCTTCCCCGAGCCCAGGGTTTGTGGAAAGGGCAGCACACGTTTCCCCTGTCCTACCATCACGTTCTAACCCACTCCAGTCTGGTCCGTCTGGCAGGATGACCGGCTCTGCTTCCTGTGTCTCTGCAGGGTTCGAGTTCTTTGAAACCAGCGCCAAGGACAACATTAACGTGAAGCAGACATTCGAGCGCCTGGTGGATGTCATCTGCGACAAGATGTCTGAGAGTCTGGACACCGATCAGGCCGCCACCTCAGCAAAGCAGAGCGCGAGGCTGCAGGAGACGCCTCCCCCGCCGCAGCCCGGCTGTGGCTGCTAATCCCTCCTGCCCAGCAGCATCCACGGAATGCCGGCAGCCTGCACTCACCGCCTCAGACACGGGGAGAGCTGTGTGTCGAAGACTGTTCCATGCACTGAATGCTTGGGCAGTTCCCTGAGTGCAAATGGGCAAATACGTGATCATAAATCCACGAGACTCCACCCACACACCTGGTATTTGCATGTGATCTGTTCTTTGTCTTCTAGGGTCTTTATGTTTCAGATTTCTTCTCGCTAGGCTACTGCTGGGACCTCAGGCTGTACATTCACTTCTGCTGACTTTGGGTTCGAATTCCCTGGTCCCTGGAGAGGATGGTAACAAGGCGTTGCTGTGTTGGGAGGGGAGACAGGAGATCTCAGGATACCTTGTTTGCTTTACTCTTAATTCAAAATCAAGCAGGCATAGGACTCATGCTTTCTGAGTAAATCACCTTTTTCAGGACAGGTGACTGTATAAGAAATGTGTCTAGTTATGAATAACTGGGATACCACCATCTATAAAGAAATTGAAATATTGTTTAAGGCCCTTGCAAGATTCCTAAGAGATTGATATTCACCTGCTAAAACTGATCTAGGTTGATCGTGGCTTAGACGTTTAAATGCAGGGCAGCCTCCAGGACTGCTCTTTCCACTGATGCTTCCCGACACACTGGGCATTGGAGGGTGCTGGCTGACCGGAAGGATTCCACTGAAGGCTGTGCAACAAGAGTGCTGACAGCAAGGGTGTAAGTAGCTGTAGAATGAGCTCCCTCATCACTTAACTAGCTAGCCCCCCATAACACACACTACCCCCATAACACACACTACCCCCATAGCACACACTACCCCCACAACACACACTACCCCCATAATGCACACTACCCCCATAACGCACACTACCCCCATAATGCACACACTACCCCCATAGCACACACTACCCTCATAACACACACTACCCTCACAACGTACACTACCCCCACAACGTACACTACCCCCATAACACACACTAACCCCATAATGCACACTACCCCCATAACACACACTACCCCCATAACGCACACATTACCCCCATAACTTATGGATACCAGACATGCATCGTGGTCCTTGATGTTGTTCAATTAGTGTTTCAACCGGATTTTTCTTCCTCTGGACACCTATCCCCTCCACCCCCCGCCATTACTTTCAGAGACAAACCTTGACTGATCTGAGTAAGTACTGCTGAGCACTCTGGTTTGGGAATGTTTCCTTGGCTCCTAAGGAGATGGAAACATGGGGCTGAGGTGGTTTCATCAGATAGGCATCCATGGAGCGGACCCGCATTTCAGCCTCCGGGGGGGGGATGGGAGGTGTAAGGTACTGAAGTTTAAGTCCTAAATGGGAAGTCCCCAGCGTCCCCCCATGACCCCTGAGGTGACTGAGGACCACTTGGTACAGGAGGAGCTCATGCTGCTGCTCTGCCAGTAGCTCCTCTGCCTCGCTGACCTTTCAGAATCTCCAGGTTCCTCTTTAGGGTCCCCACGCGTCCCTCATCTGCCTGGTGCCAGCCCGCGGGCCTGGGAACTCCATTAGAAATGTGTCCAGCTCCGCCAGGCTGTCTCAGGGCAGAGGGAGCAGCTGCATGTGGAAAAGGGATAACTTTGAAGTCATGATTGAAAACCACACTTTCAGACAAAGTGTTTATTCAGTTTTCATCTTGTTGAGAGGCTCCACTGGGGGTTGGGGAGCGGCCTGTGTCTGGAGAATCCTCCCACATAAGTTTGCATGTGTGGTTCCAGGACCTCCCTGTGCTCTGCCAGGGTGCTCGGGGCCTTTCCCGTGGCCCCGGAAGGCACAGCCCCACCGTGTGGCAGTCTTGGCGCGCCTCCCCCACCCCCGCCCACCTTGCACAGCAGCTGCACCCCACAGCTCACCAGGACAGCGTGGAGTCTTGCTGCTGAGCTGACCATTAGGGTCAGCTTGTTAGAGTTCTTTCTATTTTAGGTGAATTTTGACCAAAGCCAGTCAAAGACATGCACCTGCTTTATGTTTTGGAACGAAGTGAAACAAGTTGAGTAAAAGATGAAGTTTATGACCAGAGAAAACCATCAGTATCCCTGCAGACACCCAAGGCTCCAGAATAGCCTCCCCCGAGGGCAGAGCTAGGTCTGGAGAGGGTAACGAGGACAAATCTACCCATTCTTATTGGTGTCTCATCAATAAACGTCGTTTTCTCTCAAGTCTATAGAAATACTTGATACTCCAGTCAAATGCTATTTCCCTTTTCGGTGAAAATGTTTGCACTTGGGCCACAAACTCAGTGTTTCTCCCATGTGCACACGCATGGGCATATGCACACACACAGACACACATGCAGAGACACGTGCACACACTTTTCACGAAGGGAGATGCCTGTATTCTGCGCTTGCTCAGTGCTAGAAAAAAGGGAGCTTTTGCTACACTCCAGCTGTCACTCACAACTGTTTAAAGGTCTCTAAAACAGATTCTCAAGCTGATTTGGGTGTCTGTGCACACAATTGATTCCCATTAAAAAGAGGATATAGCAAAAACCCATTTTGCAAACATTCTAGACAAAATGAATTCTTTCTGAAACTAAGAGCTCAGGCATTGAGACCAGACCATCTATCTGGTGGGCAAATCAAGCTTTCTGTGTACAGCTCTTTCCTCTCCCGCTGGGTGTGCGTTGCTGCATGTGTTAACACGCTGCCTCGCAGGACCGCATGGCCAAGTTGGCGGGGACATCCGTGCTCCCCCCTCTCCTCCACACTGCCCTGCAGCGTCCCCGGACGTCACTTGCTGAAGTGAGGTGGGGCTTTACCTTGTATTTCATTTGCCAGTGTTCATACTTCCCTTCACTGTGGACAATTGAGAGTTGGCTGTGACTTTATTTCTTAATGAACATTTTCCACATCCTTGTTTTTGGTGGCCAGGGGTCGCTGTGGCTCATGGCTGCACTCCTCCTGTCACTCGGTGTGTGAGCTGCAAGCCCCGGCCTTTCAGGGAGGTGCACGTGGCCTGTGTCCGTCCAGGGGTTCCTGCGCCTCATCAAAGCGAAGGGGGGTCTCTGCACCGTTTGGTGATTTTCCGTGCGTCGTCCCATCACCCCTAGGACGTGTGCTGATGGAAGGTCTTCGTGTTCCTGTGAATATGTCCTTAATGTCAGATGTGATGTGACGCCGTTGGACTGTCCACATGTACAACTATTAATGGTGTTTTTGGAACTGAAATGTCTTAAATGTTGCATGAAATATGTTACAAAAATAGATTTTTTTCCTATTTTCAACACCTCAGAATTGAGGGTTCATGGGCCAATAAGTGCAATATTTAATGACTTATTCAGTGTATATAAATGAGTGAAAGTGAACTATAATGAATGTGCAAAGTACTGTGGGTGGTGTGTGACCTACTCAAATGATCTCCTGTAGCTGTGTCTAGCGTGTGCTTTCTACAGTCAGTACCTTATCGTGTCGTGTGACTCTCCTCTGTGCTACCTCAAACTTCTTTATTTCCTATGAGACCAAACGTTTAGTACCTGCAAAAGTATGTCCATTTTGCCTTTTAGAATTGTGGGTTTTGTTTTTAAGACAGAACGGTTGTTAGTTTATTTTATATAACAATTTTCTTGTTAATTCAGAATCCCCCGTTAGCCTTAAGAGGCCAATTTAGCTACCTAAGAAAATATATGCACATAAGAAAAGTCATTTTTATTCTCAGAAATGTTGATCACATGTTCTGTCTACTAAGAATTTTCACTCTTGTATTTGTATGTATAGTTATCGTAACTCAATATTGTATTTTGTTTGCAAATTTAACACTGTCAACCCTGGGAATCCTAAAATAGTCGTGTCTTTTTAGGTTGTAGCTAATGATACATTACGTTCAGTTCTCAGTTGTCTGCACCAGGGATGTGTAGATAGAAAAGCCAGGTTCCCACATCACTTTGGTGTTGCAAAGCCTCACGTGCACCCTGAGACCTGTCAGCCCTGCAGCCGTGGCCTGGAGCTCCCTGCCATGCAAAGTCCAGTGACAGGCCTGGTTGCTGGTTCCGAACACTCCGACTGTTTATGTTTGTGATGTTTAACATGGGGCAGCAACCTTGAACTCCTCTCTGCCATCCCAGTTTTTAGGCACAGATTCATCTTAAGGTCGTGCTTTGCCTCCTCAGTTAGCAAAGGACATCACAACACCTTCAACAGAGGACTCATTCACTCAGAAGGACGAAAAGCGGTGTCTTGACAGCATGGCCGTTGGCACCTCCTGCATGGCCTCTGCTCCTTCCTCTGCTGGGCCATCGCCAGTGAGGACCTGCCAGTCATGTCTGATGGCTCTGGGTGCCCACTGGGATGTGAGCCTGGCTTACCTGGGGTAGCCAGAAACTCTTATTCAGCTCTCAAACCAATTGAGGAAGTTGGTGGTTAGTGATGGCTCTGTACCAAATTAAGGGAAGAAAAATGCCAGCCGGCAGCCATCAGAATCATCATAAGAGTGTTTTAATGTTCATTCCGTCATCGCACAGCTGCCGAGGGCCATGTGCCCAGCGCTCAGCATGGTGACTGGAGGCGGCGGGTAGTGGGCAGGATGCTATCTAAACGTGAAGTTAGGGCAGGAGTGGGGGCACAGGCAATGGGGCCTGCCTGATGGAGGGAATGACTCCATGGAAGACGTCAGAGGTGGCCCCGGGAGAATCTGACCCAAGGAGATTGTGCCCAGCACGTAGCAGGAAGGGGATGGCTGGCATCTGTAAGTCATTGTTCTCGCAGCCAAATGGGTCCATCCAACCCACACGCCCCCCTTCAAACCCCTTCCCCCCCCCCCCCGTTTGCCTCTTTCTGTCCCACAAGGAAACAGGCTGCAGCACCGTCACGCTCTGTGCTGCGCAGCCCCAGACGTGGCCACAGAATACGCATCGTCCTGAAGCCATGTTAGTAACATTGACATTGTTCCCAGGCACCAAGGGTTGTTCCCTCCACCACCACCCGCAGAGGTGCCCGGAGTGTGCCTGTGCTCTCTGTGCCAGAGTCCTAT